GCAAAGGAGTTGTTTAAATTTATGTTTAATGATAAAATAATTTATTTTTAATCTAAATAAAAGTGTTTATTAATTAATGAAAGTAATAGGGTTTTTACGTAGGGTCGCGCTCTCTGGGGGCCCCCCGCTGAAGCGCAAGGCCAGAGGAGGCCGAGAGGAAGTGCGCCTGTGTTATATTTTTTGTCAATGAATTGCATTTTAATTTAATTTAATTCAATTATATTTTATTTAAATGCCTTCAAATGGATTAATATGCTCTAATTGCAAAGGAGAAGCTAGAGGAAGAGGCGGTGCTGATGCTGAGCTGTACATACACCGGAACCGTGCCGCCGCCTGCGCCTGCAGCTTTCTGTGTACAAGAGGCCTGCTAATGAAGGGTATTGAGTGGTATTTATTGTAGTGTTTATCGCGTATATGCATTAAAAGAATTTATAAATGATTTAAAAGACAAATTCAATTAAACTAGCTCTCATTCCTTCTCGTAGCTTTTCTCTTCTTTCGGGTGTATACGCAGCTCAAGACCACCGGCGGTTATGCCGCCATCTTCGTCTGCAATTGTGCGGCGTTTCTGTTGTTATTTTTTCCTTTTTATTGATTTTTGCTTCTTTATTTGAATTTATTTCGCTTATTTCGGCTTATTTCCCTAAAATTCCGAGAAATATACCGCAGACAGGCCCCTTAACCACGCCTCAACGGCTCAACAGCCAGGGCCAGTCAAACTCTGCAGCGCGACGCAAACCCTAAACCCTAAACCCTAAACCCTAAACTCTGTGCATTCAGCTCAACGCAAGCCCTAAACTCTAGGCCCTCTGTATGCAACTCAAACAAAACCCTAAACCCTAAACCCTCTCAGCATGCAGCACCCCCAAGGCAGCTTCGGGATGTACGACCAGCTGGCAGGCGCCCCCCCTGCCTACCCAACGACGCGTAAACCCTAAACCCTAAACCATAAACCCTGAACATAATCTCATCCTAGCTCTCTAAAGATAAAGTGTTTCTGCAAGTACCTCTCTAAAGTGCACTGGAGGTTTGCATCTGCTCTCCCCAGCTGTTGTTGCTGCACGTTGAAGCAGCAGATGCAGCAGCAGCAGCTGCTGCTGCATCTGCTGCTCACCGTACGTGTGCTGCTGCAGTTGCTGCAGCTGCTGTTGCCAGTTTGTGTGTTGCTGTTGCTGTTGCTGCTGCTGCAGCTGTCATGGAACGGAGTTATAAAGACTACTACAGCCAGGCAGGCACAGCCCCTCAACTTGGTGTCTATGAAATGCATGCGGGTCCCCAGATGGGGGGCGTGAGGACGCAGCAGCAGCAGCAGCAGCAGCAGTTGTTGCTGCTGCAGCAGCAGCAGTTGCAGGAACAGCTGCAGCAGCAACAATTGCAACAGCAACTGCAACAGCAGCAACTGTTGCAGCAGCAACTACAGCAGCAACAACTGCAGCAGCAGCACCTGGAGGCACAACTGCAACAGCAGCAGCAACTAGACCATGATTTGCAGCTCCAGCAGCAGCAGCTTCAGCAGCCGATCGAGCAGCAGCTGCATGCTCGCCAGCAGCAGCAGCAGCAGCAGCAGCAGCAGTTGTACGGGTATGCAGCAGCACCGTTTGGATCCTGGGGAGGAGACAGTCTTCCTTCTGCTGCTTCCTTTGTCTCTAACCCTGTGCCGTCTCTATGTCGCAGTGTTGCTGCTGCTGCTGCCACTGGTTTACAAGCAACCAGCAGCAAAACAATCAAAGCAAATGAAGAAGAAAATAATAAACTTAAAGAGGGTTCAGTGCTGCTAATGCAAAGAAGAGACTCTAATGAAGTTAACCCCAGCATGCAGCAGCAAACTGCAAACAGTAATAAGCCCTTCAACCCGACCAGTCAGCTGCTGCTGCTGCTGCTGCTGTTCCTGCTGCTGCTGCTGATGCTGCTGCTGCTGTTCCTGCTGCTGTTGCTGTTCTTTCTGCTGTTGCTGTTGCTGGAGTTGTTGCTGCTGTTGCTGCTGCTGCTCTTTCTTGTTTATTTATTAGTTTGTCTGTTTATGTGTTTGTGTTGTCTCTTTGCTTTTTTCTGTCGCTATTATATATTTTTATTTAATTATTCTGGTTGCAATCATTTATTTATTTATTTATTTATTTATTATTTATTTGTTTGTTTTTCTCTGCTCCTCTGCCTCCACTGCTGCATTTGTTTATTGTTTGTCTAATAAATGCATGTTGTCTCTTATCGTCTATTTATTTATTTATTTATATTTATTTATATGTGTTTATTTATGTATTTATTTATATTTATTTATTTTTATTTGTTTTATGTTGATTGCAGACTCTCCTTTCTTTTCTTCGGGTGTCTCTCCCAACAACCCTCAGGTGCGAGAGATTTAAAACTATATTTATTTATTTATTTATTTATTTATTTATTTATTTATTTTGATTTTATTGTTTTGTTTGTTTCTGTTTGTTTTATTTGTTTTATTTCTTTACTCTTCACTTTCATTTTTTTTGTTTGTTTGCGTTTTATTTCCTTTGTTTTTATTTATTTGTTTATTTTGTCTGTGTTTTTATTTATTTGTTTATTTTGTCTGTGTTTTTATTTATTTGTTTATTTACGTTTGTTTATCTTTCGGCTTCATTTGTTCGTCTGCTTCTGCATCTTTTTTGTTTTTGTGTTGTTGTTGAGTTTATCTATGCATTTGTGTATTATTATTATTATTATTATTATTATTATTATTATTATTATTGATAATATCAATATTATATAATATTATATGCATAATTATATCAATGCTAGTTGTATATAAATATAAAAATAATAATAAATGTTTGTCTGCGTTTTATTATTTTGCTGCAGGCAATAGAGTTGCAGTTCGAGTGTATAGACAGCTATACTTTGACTTCTTTTTCTTCTTCAGTTTGTCTTTCTTGCTTTGTTGGATTTAATGAAGGAATAAACCCAACGCTGTGCACGCAATACATTAAACCCTTTCTCCTTAGCAACGACTCTGCAACAGCAGGAGCAGCAGCAGCTTCTGCTGCTCCTGCTGCTGCTGCTGCAGCTGCCTATACACCTCAGGCCTTCGTGGATTTCAAAGGCGGTAAGATTTATCTCTCTTTCTTTAGTTTAGTCTTTTTATCTTTTTTATTTGTTTTCTTGTATGTCTGTCCGGCTTTATTTCTTTCTTTTTGTATATCTTTTGCTTTTATATCTGGCTTTGTTTGGAGTGTATGCGCATCTACTTAAACTGTATATTCACCTATCTGTGATGCATGCAGAGAAAATACGTTTAACTTGGTTTGGGGAAGAATTTCTACATATAAAAGTCAACGAAGAGGTTTGCTGCTTTCGTTGTTGCTGCTGCTGCTGCTGCTGTTGCTGAAGTTGCTGCTGCGTGAAATCTGCTGCTATTGCTGCTGCTGCTGCTGCTTCTGCTGTTTGCGTCTTTAAAATGATTGCTGCGTTATTCTTCCTTTGCCTGTCTCTATTATATTTCGTGTGGATTGTAAACAAGCGACAAGAAAAACATTTACCCGTTTGCTGCTGCTGCTGCTGTTGCTTCTGCTGCTTGTTCGGGTGTATGTACACCAGGTGCAGGGCCTACGAGAAGACACTGGGTTTATTAAATTGCATTTTGCTTCTTTACAAGAAAATATACCTATGAGAGTTGATATAATAAACAGAGAGGGGCAAACAAACGGCTTCCTTATTCTCCGCTTCGCGCTGCTGGGGCCTGCTGCTGCTGCTGCTGCTGCTGCTGCTCCAGCTGCTGCTGCTGCTGCAGCAGACCTCACACGACTCCCTACGCTTCCCAGCAACTTAGTACTGCAGCAGCAGCAGCAGCAGCAGCAGCAACTGCTGCTGCAGCAGCAACAAGAAGCCTTTGGGGCTGCAGACACAGGAGTGCGGCTTGTAAGCCCCGCAGAGATAAGGGAGAGACAGAGACAAACTGCTGTTCGCAGCAAAAAGGTGAATTGTTTATTTTAATGTTGCTTCCTTTTATTTATTTATTTATTTATTTATTTATTTATTTATTTATCTGTTTGTTCGTTTTGTCTTTGCTTAGTTTATCGTTCATTTGTTTGTTTTGTGTTCGTCTCTCCGTTTGTTTGTTTGTTTGTTTGTTTGTTTGTTTGTTTGTTTGTTTGTTGTCACTTTGTTTTTTTGTTTGTCTTTTTGTTTCCTTCTTTATTCGTTTTGTTTGTTTATTTATTTGTTTGTCTCTGTTATCGACGCTTGTGTGTTGCTGCTGCTACCCAACGAATACACCAATTTACTATATTATAAACTATTATAATAATAATATTTTATTATAAAATAAAAAACACAAAGGGAGCTGCAGCAGATAAATTTTGCAATTTGTTAGCCATGGGGTGTACGTACAGCAGCCACTGCATGCAGAGAGCAGCAAAATATTAAAATGAGAAGAGATAAGGGGGGGATATGAGTTGTTTGATTTTGCTGCTGCTGCTGCTGTTGCTTCTGTGTGCATGCGTTCCTCAGCAAAGCAGCAGCAGCAGGAACAGCAGAAGCAATTTGTTTCTGCGGTTAGGCCGGTGCTGCTGCGAGCTTCCCAATGGGGAGCTGAATTGAAGAAGAAATATTTATTTATTTCTTTCTTGCTTGGCGGCTTAGTGCCTCTTGAATTTATTTAATTGTTTATTTGTCTTTATATTTAAACCCAACAACAACAAACACAGGCAGAAGGGAGGTGTCTGTACAGACACCCCATCAGGCCTTTCTTTGTCCTTCTTTGTTTTTGTTTATCAATACCAAACAAACAAATTCAAGAAATAAATTATTTTTGTATTTTGCTGGTTTATACCTCTTCTCATTTCTGCTTCGCCGCTAACTGCACAAACAAAACAAACTTCCCCCGAGCAAAACAAATAAATCAAATTATAAATCAAATTAAATTGAATGATGTTCTTCTTTGCCGCCTGTTGTTTTGTTTATTTGTTCTCTTCTTTCTCGTTTTCTCTCTTCTTAATTTTTTTCTTTTCATTTGCCTTCGGCTTCTACTTGCGTACTATTACATTAATAATCTTCGCCATTTATTACTCTTATTGTTTTTATTTATTATTTTTGTTGTTTTCATTTATTATTGAATTTGTTTCCTCCGCATATCTGCTTGTGGCTCTGTTTTTATTTCTCTTCTTTTTTAATTGTGTTCTTTTTTGTTTCCTCTGCTAAGCGTTCTCTCCTTGCGCTGTATTATTCCCTCCATCTTTCTATGGATCTCTATTAAAAACGTTTGTTTTAATTATCCTCTATATTAATTAATATAAGAGTGAGGCATTTTTGTTGTACTGCTTTCCTTTCTGTTGTTTGTATGGGCAATTTGCATGTGTTTTTGATTGCTAAGATTGTCTGGAAATACTGAGAAAATAAGATTTGAATAGTTTTAAACATAAATATAAATGTATTTGTTTTGTTTTTCGCTGTTATTTCCACGAAAATTTGCAGATTTGCATATTATTCAGGATGCACCGTTGGGGTGTATGTGCAGCTTTCATGAAATTTCATGTTTCTGCTCATGCAGCGGCACTTTGAGCCATTTTCAGTGCTTTTTCTTTGACTTCTTCGAGTCCTCCGCACATATAAAATGCAGCTTCAGGAAGATCATCAACTTTTCCACCAACTATGTCTTGAGCCGCACTAATTGTTTCGCTTAGCTCCACAAATCTTCCAGGTTTCCCTGTAAATACTTCAGCGACTGTGAATGGCTGCGAAAGGAAACGCTGCATTTTTCGCGCTCTTGCGACGACAAGTTTATCTTCTTCACTTAATTCATCCATTCCCAAGATAGCAATGATATCTTGCAAAGATTTGTAATCTTGAAGCACTTTCTGCACTGCTCTGGCGGCGGTATAATGCTCTTCCCCGACAATCTCTGGGGCTAACATACGCGAAGTTGAATCAAGAGGATCTACTGCTGGATAAATACCTAATTCACTGATCTGTCTTGAAAGAACTGTTGTAGCATCAAGATGTGCAAAGGTTGTAGCAGGAGCAGGATCTGTTAAATCGTCTGCCGGTACATACACCGCCTGAACAGAGGTAATAGACCCTTTCTTTGTTGTTGTAATTCTTTCTTGAAGAGCTCCTAAGTCTGTAGACAGTGTTGGTTGATAGCCAACAGCAGAAGGAATACGACCTAGAAGAGCAGAGACTTCGCTTCCTGCTTGTGTAAAGCGATATATATTATCAATAAAGAGCAAGACATCTTGACCTTCTTCATCTCTGAAATATTCTGCTACAGATAAACCTGTTAATGCAACACGTGCTCGAGCCCCTGGAGGCTCATTCATCTGCCCATACACCAGAGCAGCTTTACTTCCACTGAAATCCCATGTACCGTCTTCTTTTTGTTTTTTCTTGATGACTCCAGTTTGTAGCATTTCATGATAAAGATCGTTTCCTTCACGAGTTCTTTCACCTACCCCTGCAAAAACAGAGAAGCCTCCATGCTTCTTTGCTACATTATTTATTAACTCCATTATAAGCACTGTCTTTCCCACCCCTGCACCACCAAATAAACCGATCTTCCCCCCTTTAGCATACGGTGCCATCAGATCTACAACTTTTATCCCAGTCATCAGCAGAGCTGCAGAACGCAGAACAAAACAAACACATAATACAAATTGACAAATAAAGAAACAGACAACACAAACAAATAAAGCAAGCAATAAACAAAGTAAATGAACAAACCGAACAAATAAACAAAAGAAAGAAAGTAAATAAACAACGACAAACAAGCAAAACAAACACATAAACCAAACAAATAAACAAATGAAACAATACACCGAGACAAGTAAGCAGCAAAAACAAAGAAGATAAACAAGCAAACCTCAGCAGCTCCTGCAAGTAAAGAAGAAAGACAGATGAAGAAGAAAAAGCTTAAGATGAAGAACAAACAAAACAAAACAAAACAAAACAAAACAAATAAACTAATTAAATTAATACTATACCGGGATCTGTTGCTTGGTCTGCAAAGGAAGGAGCAGAGCGATGAATTGAAAACTTTTGAGTTGTTTGTATCGGGCCGCATGCATCGACGGGGTCTCCGACAACATTCATAATACGCCCCAATGTGCCAGCCCCAACAGGAACCTAAATAAAACAAAAATAAACAAAAATAAACAAAAAATAAATTATATTTAGTTCAAAGAATATATACACGGGATATAATCCACAGACATAAACAGAAAAAAGAACAGAAAAAAAAACTATTAAATAATATATTATAGCTATATTTTTGTTTTAAAATATATTTAATTTAATATATATATACATATATATGTATATATATATATATATATATATATGACGCCATCCCTTGTGGTGTATTAATATACATATCCATATAATATATATAATTATATTATTCATATTATTGCATTACTTATATTATATTACTTGTTTTATTATTTATATTATTTTATTATTTAAAGTATTATATTAGTTATATTATATCATTTACATTATTATATATATTATATTATCTATAGTAATATGTCAGTATACTGTTCATATTATTATATTATGCGACTTCTTTATATAATTTAAAGCCCGGAAGAAGGAAAGGCAAGAGACGAATAAATAAAATAAAAAACAAAACAAAGAAATAAACAGACACAACTAACAAATAAACAAACCCTAAACCCTAAACCCTAAACCCTAGTTTACCTGAATGGGGTTTCCAGTGTCTCTAACAAGCTGCCCCCTTACGAGGCCATCTGTCCCGTCCATTGCAATTGTTCGAACGATATTTTCTCCTAAGTGCTGCGCTACCTCGAGCACTAATCGCTCCTGCTGCTGCTCCTGCTGCTGCTGCTGCTGCTGCTGGGGGTGCTGCAGCTGCACCTCCAAAGAGTTCAGAATTGGAGGCAAGGGGCCATCAAACTCAACATCAACCACCGCCCCAATCACTTGCGCTATGCGGCCAGTCGATCCCGATCCCGATCCCGATCCCGCAGCAACGCCACCTGCTGCTGCAGCTGCTGCTGCTGCAGAGGTCTTGCCTGCTGCTGCGCCTGCTGCTGCTGGAGCTCCTGCTGCTGCTGCTGCTGCTGACGTAAAGAAACGACGCGCAAACGCGCTGCTGCTGCTGCTGCTGCGGACACAGGCAGGGCCTAGACGGCCCCACACAGCAGCCCCGCGACTCAAGAGAGCACGCATCATAAACCCTAAACCCTAAACCCTAAACCCTGGGTCGGCCGTCAACCCTAAATGGAAGTAGAGGAGGCAGCTTTCCTGCGCTCTGTAAACAAACACAAAACACAAAACACAAACAAATAAAGACCTCTGTGGGGCTGCTGCTGACAGATAAGGCGGTGCTTACTGCAGCAGCTCAGGTGTACGTACACCTCAAAGAAGCAGCATGAAGACAAGATAGTATCGATACAGAATAAAAACATAAAACAAATGCAGCACAAAGACACAAGGAAAGAGAGAGAGAGACGCTGCCTCATCAAATACACACAACTCTCTTCTTACCCGAAGGCGCAGCAAAACGGTGTATGTACACCGCAGCACTTCTTTTTATTTTTATTATTTAAACGACAAAACACTCAATAACAACTTTTCTTAAAACACAAACAGTAAGCGAAACACCCAGCGCCGACTGCTGCACCCGCCCCAGAGCTGCTGCTGCAGCAGCAGCAGCAGCAGCAGCAGCTGCTGCTGCTGCTGTTCCAGCTGCAGCGACTGTCGTTAGCAGCAGCAGCAAATGAAATTTATAGCTTTTATTAACACCTAATTACGATAAAAGATAGAGAGAAAAATGTGTCTTTCGTAGTACTTGCTGCAAGCGGGAGATCCCCCAGGTGTACGGACAGACTGTTGCTGCTGCTGCTGCTGCTGCTGCTGCTGTTTTTCTCTGTTTTATTATCGACAGCAGAAGACGAGAAGATAAATTGTTTTCGCAGATTGTCTGCGCTCCGTTTGCTGCTGGTGATGCATTTGAGGTGTAGACACACCTTAACCTAGTGCACGTTCTTCGGTTTGTTGTTTATATTAATTTAAATATATATATTTAATATACATAAATAGACAAATATAAATAAGTAAATACATTTATGTATTTATTTATTTACTTCCTTTTAAACTTCTCCCTCTTCAATGCTGATACTTTTTATTTTTGTCGCTGTCTTTGCTGTCTTCGTTTGTTTATGAGCCGCTGTACTCCGCTTTGTTTGCAGCAGTTAGACGCAACCCCAACAAAACAAAGAAATAAAACCACTAAACAATCAAAAGGAAGGCTTTGCTGCTGCTGCTGCTGCTGTCGCAGCTGCTGTTGCTGTTGCTGTTGCACCTGCTGCTGCAGCAGCAGCAGCCGTTGAGTGTTGTCTGCATGTGTGTAGAAAATAAACTAAATTAAAGAGAGAACAATTAAATAGAGAAAAAACTAAGTTAAATAAGAAAAAAGTACATTTTAAATATGCGCTTGCTCGTATTCGCAGTAATAATAAAATAATACAAATAATATAATAGTAATATAATGATAATACTAAATAATAATAATAATAATAATGCAATCATATGATTATACTAATACTATATAGTAATATTACTATACATTAAAACAACAATATAATAATAATAATACTAAACAGTAATATGATAGTAATAATAATAATAATATACAATAATGCTAACATAATAATAATAATAATAATAATAATAATAATAATATACAATAATGCTAAAATAATAATAATGATAATATAATAATAATAATAATATACTACGAAGGAGCGACGTTGAGTTAGTAGTCAGCAGAAAAACGAGTAAAAATAAAAAGAAGAGAAAGAAGAAAAACAATAAAAATAAAGATGAGGATAAGTAATGCATTAATATTAATAAAGAGACAATTAAATTAAATGAGTTAATTTAAAAAGATAAACGTCCGGCGAAATGAAGAAAAATGCAGAGACTGAAACCAACTACCCAACTCCTTCTACGTATATATATATATATATATATATATATATATATATATTATATATATATATATATATATATTATA